ATTTATATTAATAGAAATTTTAATTTAAAGATTGATTTTCTAAAATATTAATTAAAAAAATAAATTTTATACATATTCTTCAAAAAAAATTTTAAGAATGCAATCTGTAAAATATTTTTTATTTTTAATATAACAGTTGAATAATCATTTTATATATATATTTTTTGGCTGTCGTTAAATTGTCATTAATCACACCTAAAATGCTGTTGAAACACCTAATCCAAAGGGAATAAGATCGTAAACATTTTGCCAATCCTTCGGCTTAATAAAGTAAGCCAGTGACAAGTTGAGAATCCATATCTTTCTCCTAAATAAATAAATAAATATACAGTGAAATACAAAGCAACCATTTAGTCATTTACCAAAAAAGAAGAAAGAAATACAAAGCAACCAACATTCAGCCCAAGAATTTTCTGGGCTGACCCAGTTGAAGAACCAAAAACTTGTCTGGTCCATTACACTTCCTACTCTTTCACAAATTCATTACACGTCTCAATGAAACCAGCCAACCGGCACAGGTTTATTTCATAGATATTAAGACGCCTAATAGAACAAATCCTTAAAAGGAAAAAGGCCAGATTAAGACGTCTGTAATAATATAAGAAAAAAATGATAATGATAAAGCTTAAAGCCAAACTGACCTGTTGCAATAGATCCAATACATATTCTTTACCCACAACAACAAAACACCATAACACAAGACACACATGAATTGGGAAATTTAAGATGAGTTGTTTTGGGAATTGCAGTAATCTTTTGCGCAACCTAACAGCATAATTTGAATCCAGCTTATGAGGAAACAACACAACCACCAAGGATGAAGCTATTTGTGGGAAATATGTATATATGTATATATTTATATAAATGAGTAAGGAGTCATTTATACTTTATACATTAGTTTTATACACTACATTTATATACACTCTTAACCATTCATCTCTTTACTTTTAATGATTGAGATTTATTTACATTTATTCAAAATAATTATCTTTTTTACTTAAAAAGTTATAACAAATCTCAACTATTGAAAGTAAAAAAATAAATAATTAAAATTTTGTGCAAATATAAAGTGTAAAACTTGTGTATGAATAGATTCTTCTTCTATATATATTTCAGAAAATCAAAATTAAGACTTCCTTACATATTTTGTTTAATAGTAACATAATGCATTTGATAAAGTTATAGAAGAGGTTTAAGGCCAGCCAATGACAGGTGAATCCAATGCTCTGTCCTACCAGCTTAAGCTTTTGGGTTTGAGATTTAAGTCCAACAAGTATGCATTGTACGTTCCTTGTCAGCTACCATTGGCCTAGTTTTCCCACAAGAGCTAACTAGGGGGTGTGCTTGTGTGGCCTAACTAGGTAAAGCATTCTACATTAGATAAAAAGGGGATCTTGTGGACTGCAAAACAACCAATATTTAGGCTCAGAATTTTTGGCCCGGCTCATATGAAGATCCAAAAGGGTTTTCCGGTTTGCTTCTCTTCCTCCCTTACATATTCTTTACTAATAATGATTTAATGTACCAAAATTTAGAATTAATGATAT